AATCAAAGCTATAACATAAAACGTGTATCGACATAATACAACCACTTTAAATCAGGAAGTCCAACAAAGGGAGATCGCATTAAATTTTATCGACAATAAATAAATGCGGCTAAGCCCCTCACTACACGGCCGGACACGTAGCACGTTTCTCGACGCATTGTGGATCAGTTGATCTCATTATTGTAGACGCGGTGTTACGTATCCGGCGGGATGCAAAGGGACACCTTATTAGATGTCGTTTGTGATAACCGCTCGGCTTTTCGAGTAGCGCCGGATGGAATTCTTCCGAGGGTTACGTATTCGAGATATGATATACGTTGAAGGTTATAAGTACTGGTAAAGACGTTGTCTGTTCAGAAACCTATACGTGGTAGAACCATGCTGCAGTTATATTAGTAGTATAGTTGTAGCACGAATGGGTCGGCTCGACCGGGGAAGGACCACGCTCTCACAGAATACCAGCGTAAAATAGCAGCTTAACGCTGCTGTGTTCCGTATGGTGAGTGTAGAGAACCGGAGACCCTTTTTACTGGAAACGAGGCATTCCATCTTAGTCCTCACGGGTGACAACTCATCTGCATTTTGATTCGTAATCGAAGATAGATGTAGATGCCTATGAGCCACAGCAACCACTTAATATCAGGTGGACTGTGTGCTCGTTTGTCACCCTTATCATATAAAAAGAAACATACCTCCGTCGATAATATGACATGTGTTTCGTCTCAAAACGAGGCGTCCTCAGGTGAAGTAGACTCTGCTCTGCGATAGCTGACTACTAACTGGCATGATTTAGCGGCGCACCACCGCAGTGGCCAAGACATCTACATTTATACTCGATTAACAACCAAAATTTAGATTATTGAAAGAAGTTAGGAAGAGTAGCCTCACTTGTATAAGAATATACACGATTTAGTTAATTGCTTGTTTGGCGGAGTGGCGTTCGGAGTTCAAGCGTTTGAAGGTTTTTTTTAAATGTCAAAGTGGACGAAGGAATTATACTAAGATACATCCATACTATTGTACTTCAGATGTTGATGAAGAAGTCCTGAGTGATAATGATAAGTCTAAAAGGAATCAAGTGCATAAATAGAAATAGAAGTAGTTTTTTTTTTAATTCAATGTTGTTGAAATGTATTAGATATGAAAATTTATTTTGAAATATATCATACTAGGTACTTTGTTAGTATGTTATTGTAACTGAGTATTCTTGCAATATCTGTATCGTATCGAAAATAATAAAATAAGTTTTGCATTGATTATAAAGTGTTGTTTTTAATTAGAAACCCATAACCCAATAGGTTATGGGCCCAGGAAACTCTGGACATAGAAGTACAGAAGAAATATGCAAAGAAAAAGTTACAATCGTGTTTGAGAAATCATTGACAACATAACCTCAAAATGGATTCCATGCGGCCAATGAATTTAGAAAAATTTGATGAAAACAACTTTCGTCAGTGGAAATTCCAGATAAAATGCGCTCTAAATGCTAAAGGAATAAATATTTCGAAACCGAAAACACCAGGACACTGTACAGATTGATGGTAAAGTGACGGCATGGTAATGTTCATCATAACGTTACGTTGGTAGAGTCATGCTGCAGCTATATTAGTATTATAGTTGTAGCACGAATGGGTCGGCTCGACCGGGGAAGGACCACGCTCTCACGGACAACCGGCGTAACGCTGCTGTGTTTCGTATGGTAAGTGTAGAGAACCGGAGACCTCTTTTACTGGCAAAGAGGCATTCCATCTTAGTTCTCACGGGTGACAACGCATCTGCATCTTGAATCTTTATTGAGGATAGATGTAGATGTCTATGGGTCACAGTAACCACTTATCATCAGGTGGACTGTGTGGTCGTTTGTCACTCCACCCTATAAAAAGAAAACATCTTCATTTTTTTTTGTTATGTTTAATTTGCCACTGGTTCGGAAAATATTTCTGTCCTGGGAAGAACCAGCCAGAAACCCAGCAAGAAAACGAACAGTTTACAACAATTTAATATGTTACCCAATAATTAAATAATGCAATGTTTAATCTGTCTGTGAAATAAATAAAGTATAAAGTGTCGTTTTTTATGACCTGAATATAATGGCAAATCCACGTTTGCTGCCATATTAATATTGGTACATCTTACCATAGACTATAAAAATGTCATAATAATATGTTAGTCCTTCTGGGCTTGTTCTTTCTAGAATAGATACTTTTTTCCAAACCAGTGATAAATCAATTTAAAATAATACGGATATTTTATAATCTATATTAAAATAAAAAATACTCCTAACTCTATTGCCATGACATTACATCATTTAAAAAAGGAGTGCCTATATCTTTTGTGCAAGATCATTAAATTATATCGATTCCGGGAAAACTGCTAGTGACAGTAAATATACCATAATATAAACGTAAATGGCAGGCGATTCCTAGAAATACGAATGGTGGTAGTTTGCCAAGCGACGCGGATGGAATTTAGACTTGTGCAGTTTAAAGTGATGTAATTTGACGGCTGGAGTTGTTCTAAAACTAATATATTCGTATTATTTAATTAGCTGGTCTCCGCGACTTTGCCCGCGTGTTATTTGAGGTTTGAATATTTTTGCGCGGAACCCTAATCCTTTTTCTAAAATTGAAGTAGCCTAAGTTACTCCTTGTGAATCAGCTATCTGCCAGTGAAAATCCCGTCAAAATCGGTCCAGCCGTTTCGGAGATTAGCCAGAACAAACAGACAAAAATTTAAATTTTTTAGTTATAAGTACCGTATTTACTTTCATATGCATTTAGTAAAAACACTGTAATATTGACATTATAAACAGACACTTCAATTTTATTTATTTGTATAGATTTAATATTACTATTGTTGCACTTAATTATTTTACCTCATCCCATGATAAGAAACCATGAATTTCTTTCGTTGGAAATAAAGTTAATTTCCTTTACACACTAGAAGGATACAGCTATATCAAAACATAAGCCATTGTAGCACAGCTACTTACAATGTTGCCACACAAAAAGCTGTCGATCAATATTACCAGATTGAATAATTAGCGTATGACGCAGTTACCTGACACCATGGAAAGCCCGTAAAGTAGAGGAAATGGGGTCTAAAAGACGAGAGTTAGATCAATTGGTTTTACATTTATAATGTTCATTTTGTGGATAGAAATTAAAGATATTTACTTTAACCACAAATTTAGGTTTTGTTTCTTTTAATATCTAAAATTTAAAAATATTAAATTGTGTTCAATTTAGATAGGTTAACAATTATTGCATTTCATTTTTTTTTGTTATAAACTTCTTGCCGGTCAATCATTATGCTACACGATTAAAATTATATTTCATAATTATTTACAATATTAGCTTATACAATTTACGCTATTCACAAATGTGAGAAAAGATGAAAATATGTTCATATACAATCATAGATTATATTGTGTTGCTTATCGAAGTCGATAAACAAAAAAATTTAATTTTTAATTCTTTCCTACACTAAAGATATTTTTTTTAAAACTGCCTATGATAACGTGAATAAAGCTAACAAACATTGAGCCTCTTTTTCGCACAAAAGAACGCGAATATGAAACATTGATGTTGCGTCAGAAGCACTAGGATATTCATTACGCATTAAATTCCTAAAAAGGAGTTTGACTGTTTAAAACTTTGACTGAATGTACAAGATCAGTGGGCGAAAACGCCTAACCAAAAAAAATTAAAAAAACAGAAACAATTTAAATTATGGGTTTTAATTTTTATCCACAAAACTCAATATTTACAGTCTCTGGGGCAGCTGGGGTTATGTCAGCCTAAGGAAGGGCGGAAAGAAAGAAGAATCCACTGCAGCTTTAGAAGCAGTGTAGGGTTGTTCGGGGTTGAAATGTAAAGCTTAGGGGTATTAATGAGACTCAAGCACCAGGTACCGACAATGGAAACGATCGAATCATATAACCTCACACAAAATATTGTTATTTTTAATTTGTAATACTAATGGACAACAAATAATTGTATTTGTTTTTAGGCTGTTACGGATAATGGATTCCTTTGCTGTATAAAATATTATTATTTATTATTATTTGTTTAATCTGTTACCTAAAACTACCCAAATATATTACGTTTTTTAAGGCAAAATATTTGTGATAGTATTTTATTATATAGTATGCCTTTAAAAGCTTGTAATATAACACAAATTGGAACTGAAATTATGCAATTTTTTTTGAATATATTATTCACTAGATATTTTTTTCATATGTATTTTCATACTATATTTCGAAATGCGCGGGAATTTTGACAACTCTGGAAAAATATCGTTTGATCTAAAAAAAAAATGCGTTTAAAAAAGATTTCTTTTAGTGGAAAATTTTTTCATATTTTTTAACAATTGAAGATTTTTTTCTGACTGCTAACTTTTTTCGCATATGATTGGTTAAATAACATAAGTATTCTATAAAGTACATACGAGTATTATAAAAAAAAGTCAAAAAAGTTTCCCACCACCTTTAAAGTCTAGTAACTTTCGATTGGTGTTAAATACTACAAAATGTATTTCTGAAACAGAGACAAATTGTAAAAACCTAAAAAGTTTTCCATTTTACCACTATCAAGGACCGATAATTTTAGACATTCTGAGCGAAAGTTTGATAATTCGATCGCAATTATACTGTGGATTGTAATTTTGCTGTCTTCCAATGATAAAATGAAACAAAATGACTTAACTGAAAATTACTTTTAACACGTATGAAGTATGAATTATACATACATTTTAGTTTACCATGAATTAGGGCCTAATTAAGTTTTTTTTTTAATTTTCCTATAAAGGCAACGATTGAAGGCATATAAAGCAATGTTACCAGTACAAAAATTTAGCTCGGATTGTTGGAAAATGATTAAAAAGAGGAATAATGAACTTAGGCAGGGGAACGCACCAAAAACCCAAACCACAGTACAAGAAGGGTGAGAATGCGGGTACCACACCATTGGCGGGGGCTTCCACCCGTACCAACTACTCACAAACGTTGAAGATGTCTCAGTCTCACAAAAAGACCCTCCGCCAAGTGGCCGAGTCGATTATTGCTCAGTTTCCTGCAAGGTAACACAAAAACAAAAGAATAATCCTAGTAGAATGACACAAATGCGCATAGAATAATCCCGAAGTCACTTCGGATGTGAGTAACACGCTTGGATGTTGATTGCTTCGGAACATCGTGGTATATTTTTTAATTGCTTCGAAATAGAAATTACTCATCCTTATATATAACTTGGATATAAATATCACGAGCCTTTTAGTCCATAGTTGGACTACCAACCACGCCGAGCAAGTATGTTGTGCACAGATTCAACTGGAAATTCCCTTTCAGTAGTGTGTGATTTTTTTTAAATTTACGTTCGGGGGTTTTGGATAAATTTCTTTGGAGCATTGTGCAAATGAGTTTAGAGATTATAGGAGACATTTTTTAAAACACCACCTTGGAAATGAATTTAAAAAAAAATACTCACAGTCTCTCCAGCGAGGTCAGCGATAGAAATGCGTCCCTTTCGATCGTGTGTATCTGGTTTTCAGATAGTTGCCTGTAGAAAAAAAAACACTTTCATAATGTAGAGGAATAAATTTTGGCGGGAAATGGACCGGCGGCGGAATGCTGCTCTTGTTATATTAATTTGAAACGGATTTTGATGTGTAAAAATGGTGCGATTTTGTGTATTAAATGTCTGAAACTATTAGTGGAAACGATGTAAGAAGTGCTGATACTGTCGTCATCGATCGATGCAGGCTCAAGCTGCCACCAAAATCTCCCACAAACTTCGCAATGTGACGCATCACAATAACAAGATAATTTCATAATACTTAACACTGGCAAAATTATAAGAGGACGAGTTTTCCATTCCATTACCAAATTAACAAAGTGAAAAAAAAATTGACGGGAACTTCCGTAACCGCATGTGAAATTTTATTCTTGTAGTAGTAATAACACTTTAATAAAAGTTTGAAAAGTATCAAAATACTTTTCAAACTATTATTAAAGTATTATATTATATGTAACTAAAATTGGTGCCATTATGTGTATTAAATGTCACCCATTAGAAAACGATATGATGTCTTTAGTGACGTCGAAGTCCCTAACTTAGTTTAGCAGGAGTCCAATAGTTTGAAATTAATTATTTCTAGTAAAATACTTACAGAATCTTTAATTCGTTCAAGTTCTGGAAGTCGCTCTGGAATATAATTGTCAGGTTGTTGCCTTGCAGGTCTCTGTAACAAAAGAACATCTATATTAACCTTAAGAATAGTTTGAATGACCACTTAGGATCTATAACGACTTATATGTAGTTGGTTAACACCCATTCTCACTTAAATTTTCAAAACTTTTTTTTTCTTAGTAAATTATTTAAGAAGTCGGGTTTCTTATAAAAAGTATTTAACCATTACGCTCGTATAGTTGCCTATAGTGTTAACAGTCTTAGAAAGTCATCTTGGCTAATCTTGCAGTGAAAAACTAACGGCTATTCGTCGTTCGTTTTGATTACTGTTCCTGGTTTTTCTTTTTATAGTATAAGGGTGACAAACGAGCACACAGTCCACCTAATGGTAAGTGGTTGCTGTGGCCCATAGACATCTACATCTATCCTCGTTTGCGAATCAAAATGCAGATGCGTTGTCACCCGTGAGGACTAAGATGGAATGCCCCTTTTCTAGTAAAAAGGGTCTCCGGTTCTCTACACTCACCATACGAAACACAGCAGTGTTAAGCTGCTATTTTACGCTGGTATTCTGTGAGAGCGTGGTTCTACCCCAGTCGAGCCGACCCATTCGTGCTACAACTATACTACTAATATAGCTGCTGACACTCACAACATTCAGACAAATCGATTGAAGCAAGAATCATCAAAATCTGCCCACAGACCCCGCTCTCACAGAACAATCAGTGTAAAATAGCAACTTAATGCTGCTGTGTTTCGTACGTTCAGTACAAAGAACCGGAGACCCTTTTTACTGAAAACGACGCATTCCATCTTAGTCCTCACGGCTGACAACGCATCTGCATTTTGATTCGTCATCGAGGATAGATATAGATGTCTATTGGTCACAGCAACCACTTACCATCAGGTGGACTGTGTGCTCGTTTGTCACTATTATTCTACAAAGAAAAGCAAAATGTAATAGTAAAGACCCAGATCAACTATTTTAGATAGTTATACTCCCTCCAGGTTATACTTGAAACACTGTTTTTAACCTCCGATGAAAACAGAGGGGCAGTGATAGGTTTATAGCCTGTATCTGTGAATCTGTATGTCATCTGTAAGCCACACATCATCGTTCATCCTGAAAGAATGAACCGAGTTTGATAAGTTATTGTCGTTTGAAAGGTGTCTTAATCGAGTGTTCCTAGGTATGTATCAAGAAAACCTGTCAGCCAACTGAAGATCATCTTTTTCTTTTAGGGGTGTATTTTTTTTAATTAAGTTATAAACTTAGAAAAGTACATCACGATGGTAAACCAACACATATCAGCTAACATTTCACTAACTTACTTAACTTGAACGTACAGTTAAGTGCCGTAATTAGGTCATTGAGAAAAGTGCTTTCGCAATTTACTTAACTTTCCCGCAAGCTTCAAGTGCAGTTCAGGCTTTAAGTGTTACTTAAGTGAGTACGCCGCGGGGTTAATGGATGAAATGAATTGAATCATTTTCTCAAATTAAATCATTTAGTTATAAATGCGCCAGAATTTAGTTTTAATTTACACGTGGTAAGTTAGCCGTTATAGTCTGTTACGAGGAGCACACTGAAATGATCGGGAATAAGAAAAACCACATGCACGGTATAGCTAAATTGTATTTTATTGTTTTTCGAAGTATTCTCCGTTCAACTTAATGCACTTTCCATTCGTGCAAACCAATCATTAAAACAGTAGTTCCAGTCTGAAGTTGATGTTGACAAAATTGCTGATTTGTACGCTTCCACAGCTGCTTCGCGGTCTTCAAACCGTTGACCGCAAAATAAATCTTTCATTCTAGGGAATGTAAAGAAATCGTTTGGCCTCAGGTCAGGACTGTACGGAGGATGGCTCATCAGCTCAACTTTTTCCTGATTCAAAAAATAATATGTCTTCCGAGCTGTATGGAAGCTCGCATTATCGTGATGTAAGATGATGCGACGTTTCGGGTTATTTTTTCAGAGTTCGGCTATCATTTCTGGCAAACAAACCGTGATATACCACTCAGCGGTAACCGTTCTGCGTTCCTGTAAAGGAATTATAGCAACATCCCTCATTTTCGAAACAAACATAGCGACCATTTTCTTTGACACGCTGCGGGAGCGAACCACTGACGTTGGTTTGACCTCGTCTTCGAAGACCCAAACTGCTGACTGATGTTTTCTTTCAGGTTCGTATGAATAAATCCATGATTCGTCACCTGAGAGGTTATTATAAACGGCATTTGACTTTCCTCCGTTGAAGCGTTGCAGAGTATCCCGGCACCAATCTACACGAGCCGCCTTTTGCTCTTCGGACAAATTGTGGGGAACCCAGCGGGAAACTAAGTTTCTTACACACAGTTCATTATGTAATATCGACTGAATTGCAGTCATTTCGATACTGATAACAGCCCGAATCTGCTCGTATATCACATGACGGTAGTCTAATATAATAGTTCGCACAGCTGCGATGTTTTCAGGCGTGACCGCTGTTCTTAGTCGACCTGCTGAAGAAACAGTGCTGAGCGGCACACGACCGCGTCGGAACTCGGCATACCAGCGGTATATTGTCGTTTGACTCGGTGCTTCAACATCATAAATCGAAACAAGTTCCCTGAGACATTTATCTTGAAAATTGTGATAAATTATGGCACGGAAATGTTCACGCGTGAGCTCCACTTCTGTTAACGACGTGTGAACACAGAACACTAATACCCTTAGGCGTGTGAACTTTAAATCAACATAGTTTTTGTTTTAAACATTTTTTTTAATTGTTTGAATGTCATTAAGATTCTAAGAGGCCAGTATTCAAATTCTAAAATAGGTTTTATTGTAACTCAATCCGAAATATTCTATTCCCGATCATTTCAGTGTGCCCTAGTAAAGTCCACTGTTGAACATAAGCCTCCCCCATACATTGCTTCATATACATGATTTGAAAATTTCACCTCTCATTGCGTCATGTGCTCCTAGTAGATGATCTTCTATACATCCATCCATTACAGCCTGTTAAAGTCCACTGCTGAAAGATAGGCCTCCGCCATAGATTGATTCATAGGGGGAATGCCAAAGTTGCCACGCTTGGCAAGCGGGTTGGCAACCGCAGTGTTTTTTAGTCGTTATTAGGAATACGCTGCTGCCAATCTCCTTACAATTCTTACACTTACACTTACATTATTCAATTCATTCATCATTAGCCTATAAAAGTCTATTGTTGAACATAGGCCTCCCCATAGACTACTAGGAGAGATTCACCATAGACTACACAGGAGCGATATTTTAATGTTATCTTATTTCGTGGTAAATTACGAGGAAATTATAAGCGATATCGCTTTTGTTTGTATAAGAAGTAGATAGCAAATTTACCAAGTCACACAGTCCACCTGATGGTAAGTGGCTGCTGTAGCCCATAGACATCTACATCTATCCTCGTTTGCGAATCAAAATGCAGATGCGTTGTCACTCGTGAGAACTAAGATGGAATGCCTCTTTTCCAGTAAAAAGGGTCTCCGGTTCTCTACACTCAGCTCTCGATGGTTAAGATTCACAATTAGACCCGGTAGGTGGCTCTATTGTCTAGATCCAGAATAGTTCAAGCATTTGACCCAGCAATTTATAGAAAAATCATCAAAAGTAATGGAGTACTTTATGTTGAGCAAAGTTAAATGTTGTCCACTTTCCCACCCTCTCCCGGGTGAGTGTCACCCCACGTGCCCCGGAAACGCGTTCTTTTTAGTTTTAAAGAAAACCGTACGTGGTAGAGCCATGCTGCAGCTATATTAATTGTATAGTTTTAGCACGAATGGGTCGGCTCGACCGGGGAAGGACCACGCTCTCACAGAATACCAGCGTCAAATACCGGCTTAATGCTGTTTTGTATGGTGAGTGTAGAGAACAGAAGATCCGTTTTACTGGAAACGAGGCATTCCACTTTAGTCCTCACGGCTGACAACGCATCTGCATTTTGAATCCTCATCGTGTATAGATGTAGATGTCTATGGGCCACAGCAACCACTTACCATCAAGTAGACTGTGTGCTCGTTTGTCACTATTATTCTACAAAAAAAAAGTAAAATGTAATAGTAAAGACCCAGATCTTCAACCTTATCCTATAAAACACACACACACACACACACACACACACACACACACACACACACACACACACACACACACACACCCACACAAATTTCATTAAAATCAGACCAGCCGTCACAACACATTTACAGATGAATTTTATACATATATGTAAAAAATTTCTTAAACGTGTAGTTTCCTTACCGTCAAACAAGTAGTAAGATATTATATGGCAACATTTAATCGTTATCAGTAAAATACCATGTATTAATCTATAATATGATCAGGCTTCGCCGCATCTTAAACACTGGCAAGTTTTATTGGAATGTTAAGGCAAGAAATGTAGACTTGTGAATAGTTTAGACAGCGCATGCTTAGAAAAAATTACTTTAAAAAGTAAGCCCGACTTCAAGAACTAAAAGATATTTTTTATAGTATAAGGGTGACAAACGGGCACACAGTCCACCTGATGGTAAGTTTATGCTGTGTCCCATGGATATCTACTTTTATCCTCGATTAAGAATCAAAATGCAGATGCATTGTCACCCATGAGAATTAAGATATAATGCCTTTTTATGTGAAAATATATTATACTTGCTAGTTCCAAATGAAGTGACTTTACATTTTATTAAAAGTTTAAATTTTGACAGTTTTGTTTGCTTACACAAGCTCAAATGTCATCTAAATAGTTACATTAAGAACTTCATCCCCTATTCGACCACCCTTAGATCTTCGAATTTAAAGGGGAAAATCCGTGGTTAACATCAGTTCATCATTGTCGAAAATAAAGAGTAACAAACACACACAAAAACATGCAGAAAAATTGAGACCTTCTTTTTATTAAAGTCGCCTAAAACTGTCTATCATTTATTAAAAATAAATTAAGATACATACATACGTATTACGCTAGCTATGTTACCGCTGTATTGGCTACTTAATGAATCGGTTGGCTCATTCGGGGAAAAACCACGCTCGCT